GCGAAGACTCTGATTACGCTTAGCGACCAAAAACGAAACTCCGATGAATTCTTGAGCGCCCGATCGTGTGAAAAAATAGTTTTTCCGCGTCTCCGGCGTGGCTTTAGCTTGCTCAAAAACGAACGTCCTATTCACCCGTATCGCGTTTCGAGATATGAGAAAAAAAAATTAATATTAATAATGATGAAAAAGACAGCGGATTAATTAATATGTATTAATATTAATTAATACGCGTCAATATATTAACACTATGTAATACTATATATTAAACACTAATCAATAATACATATATACTAATAGTATAGTGTATTAATACTTATTACATTAATACTCGTGCTAGCCAATATACATATATAAATAAATTTATATGGTTATTCGATAAACTATCGAAAATGTTATCAACGCGAGGGAAAAGCGAAAAGACCAAGCCTGAAAACCACGCTCTGCCGCCAATTGGTAGGTGACAACTCGCGCGAGTCGAGTTTGTCCCGTATGAAGGCTCTTTTAACAGCCGAGCGGCCTTAGACTCGGGCGGTAGTCAGGCTTTCGGGCACCCCGGCCCGTTCGCGCGTCAATAATGAAATCTGTGTTAATTATAATTCGATACTCGATATCGTTTTTGTAAAATAAATAATTGAACGTTTATAACGTTCTTCGCTTATTTATTAAAAGCAAAAATGTAATAGCGATTCTCTTTAATGTAGTGGGGAAGCATATGGATACACTTATGGATGTTTACAATTATAATATTTATTCTAGTCTCTTTCATAACATAAATAAATTAGTATAAGTAATTTTCGCGTCGCGATGTCTAGTATTTTTTTTGGTTACATAAAAAGTATTACTCACTTTGTATTATAATTGTAAATATAAATTGGTCCAGAATATTATTCGCTTCGTGAAATGGCCAATCACTTTTTCTTTGAATCTGATCAGATCAACTGGTCCAATATGTTTTTTTATACAATGCTGTAGTAACACGTGAGACAATGCTAGTTCCTATGATTTTAGTTGTCTAACATCTTCTTTATCCAATAGCGCAGCAACACGCAAGAAAATGATAATTCCTGTGATATTTTGTTTACGCAAAATTATTAAAGCAATCGTACTCGACACTTCTAATATTTAATTATGACTCAAACAATTAAAAACTCAAACTTCTATTATGGTTTTAATTTCAGTAGGAAAAATATGCGGCCTTCTTAATTGAGCGCTCGCTTCTAACTGACTAATTCTCTATCGCTCTGCTTTCGCTGGTTTATTATATAGCCTTTGTCCCTAGCATATCGTCTCTCTCTCGCGCATATGATTTAGACGTTTACGCTTCTCGTAGCGGCTCGTCTTACCTAGCTAAGCACGCCGACTGCAGCATGCTGACGCAGCGTGAATCAACCTCTGCTGCTCATTCCCACCGAGTCGCGCACACGAATACTGCTAGCTATGCTATGTCCGAACGGAAATCCCGAGAGCAAAATATTATTCGATAGTGTATAATTGTAACATAATAAGACGTCACGTAACAGTGACTATTATTATTTATTTATTATTATTTCTATTGCTATTTTTATTTATTAAATAATGAATAGAATTAAAAGGGATAGCTTAACTAATGATAAAGCATATACTGTAATGTTTACTACAAAATACTTAACTTATGATTTAAGAAACCCTTCTTTAACCCATTAACGTCCAAAATGTCAAAATTTCTTGCACGTTTTCAAAGTGATTTTTTCCTGTGTAATTGACGTTGAAAAAATTCTTGAACCACATATTCTGATGTAAAATTGCATGCTCTTTCAGAATCCGTTGCCAGAATCATGATAAAACTCACAGGAAAAGAGATATGCTCGATTGAAACATAAAAAACACCTAAATTTTCGAAAAAAAACATTTTTAGGATTTTTTTTCGAAGTGTTACGGTGAAGATATCACCTTGCGACCATGATCACAGGTGATCATGGGATTTGAATTTTAACAGGGAATTTTTTAGAAAAAAATTCATAAAATCAAAAATGCCTTAGAATCGCTCGAGGAACATTCTCAAATTTTTTCAGAATTTTTTGAGACAATTTTTGATTTTCCGGGAAACTTGGGAAATGGGATTTTCAAAAATGTCTCAAAAAATTCTGAAAAAATTTGACAATATTCCTCAAGCGATTCTAAGGCATTTTTGTTCTTATGAAATTTTTTCTAAAGTCCATAGATTTTGAGAAAAAAATTGATGAAGATTGAAAACAAAAAATTCGTTTTTTCCGCTATTTTGTAAAGAAGCGATGTTTCAAGGTAAACAAAAAAATTCCCTGTTAAACTTCAAATCCCATGATCACCTTTGATCACGGTCGCAAGGTGATATCTTCACCGTAACACTTCGAAAAAAAATCCTAAAAATTTTTTTTTTCGAAAATTTAGGTATTTTTTATGTTTCAATCGACCATATTTCTTTTTCTGTGAGTTTTATCATGATTCTGGCAACGGATTCTGAAAGAGCATGCAATTTTACATCAGAATATGTGGTTCAAGAATTTTTTCAACGCCAATTACATAGGAAAAAATCACTTTGAAAACGTGCAAGAAATTTTGACATTTTGGACGTTAATGGGTTAATAGCCATTTCATTGGCACATCATCTATATCTAGGTGATATCTAGTAATTATTATAGTTTTAATGGATTAGTTTGTGGGTTATTACTGTTATAAATAATTTACTTGAAAATGAATAGGATGTACTCGTATATAATTTGATTCACGAAATCTTTTATTGTATAATATTGCGAGAATTCTTTTGAGGCCTCCATACAATTTTATAGCTAAAACTAAAATATATCTTATAAAGAAAAAAGTTTTGTTACGGCTCTCTGCAATGATTTATCTAAACGAATTACAGTTGTTATTAAAAAAATTAATATTAATAAATATTATAGCTTAGATTACAATCAATTAATTTTAAAGCGTTAAAGCCAGCGGTTTCCTCATAAAACCAACGATGATTTTGAGTTATCTCTAGTGTTCATGCTTACATCGAAAAAAATTGGTAATACAAACTTATTCATTATTATGTAAAGCTTTAATGATATAATATTTATCATAGAAGAAGTTTAAATTAACTGTAACTTATGCAAGATTATGTTCATTTCGTAATTTTGTTACACTATTTCCTATATTTTGTAATTATAATAAACATTTTCTTATCGCAACCTTTCCTAAACTACGCTGAATAATGTATCATGCAAAATTTATTTAAAAATAAGTAGTATCATCTATTATATTTATATTGAGTCAGACATACGTATCCTTCGTATCAGTAGTTTATTTTTTATTTAGTCTTCATCTATAACAAATAATCAATTATTAAACTATTATAAATCAATTTTTAAAATTTGAAGTAACACTTAATAAGTTATGGCTTGTGTTAATATTTTGTTTTAAACTTGAACGTAAACACCGGTGACAACTCAAACTGTCATTGAGTTTTTTATTTTTTCACAGTCTAACTGCTAGATAGAATACTTGACAATTGATTAGTCGTAATCTAGGCTATAAAATTTATCAATATTAATTTTTTCAAGTTCCAACTATGTTTTTTTTCAGGTAAACCATTAGAGAGAAGACGAGACAAATTGTCCCTATTTACTATATTTTAAATAGTTATACAATTATATAAATTGATGCAAATAGTTATTTACGTAAGCACATCATCTACGTTATGCAATAATATATAAATTTCTAAAAAAATATATCAGTGTCTATGATCATAATACGTTGTCTCGTGTGTGTGTGTGTGTATGTGTATATTCATTTCATAAATATTTATCCTATTGTTTATACTACGTTAAATAACTTTGAATTTTAAAACTAATGATGATATAATTTAAAAGAAGATAGGTAATATATAGAAGTTGTTTATTATTGGAGTCCCCTCCCCCACTTCGATTTCTACATACATTTTAATAAAGATTACTTTTTAAGGTTAAATTTGCTCATGGATAATAAACGTTCAAAACTTTTAAATAACTTAAAAATTAATATTATTTTTTTAATTTTGTAAGTAATTATTTTTATATGTAGAAGTTGTTATATATATAGAATTACTTATATGTAGAATTCTGTGAAAATTTAATAAGAATCTTGTATACTATTGTTTTATAATTTGGTTGAAGTTATAGAATAGAGATACATAATTAATGAAAAATCATAGAGTACAATGAAATTAATGTAATGACTACAAAATGTAAATCGAGTATATATATGTTTGGTCTTTGCATAAAAGTTATCTATATATTTTATCTTGCAAAAATATTCATTTTTTCAAAGAACTATACGTATAATATTCAGTGATTTCACCAATTACATTATTGTATCAAATCATAGTCTCTTATACTGTAGTTTGGTTTTATTTATAATAATATAATAATTCAATAAGATGTTTTAACTAAAAAAAGTCATGATCTAACACAATGGAATAAAAATGAGCGGAAAGACACAAAATACAATATATTTAATAATAATAATATACTTTTACAAAATTCAAACAGTTATAATTACTGTTTCAAATTCACAGAATTGACTGAGCTTATTCATCAGGTTAGTGCGCATGGTTAGCACGCGTAAAAGTCATGTGCACTACAGTGATGTATTCGAGTATCGATCTGTAAGCTACAAAATTATCTCCAAAATGGTGCATTGCTAGAAAATACAATGAAATTTATAGTTGTGATTTACGCCATTAATTAGGTTTAATTTTTATCTCATTAAATTTTTTTGAAGTTAATTGATGTATTGATGTATTCTTGAATATTAATATTTTTTTACCATAGTGTGGAATCTGTCAAAGTCTATTTCATTATTGCCGTATTACTAGTAAATAAACTAATGAACTAAAAGTATATAACGGGTAAGATTCCTCAAAATAAATGAATAAAAATTGAATGAATATATGATTTTATGAATTAATATATGTTTTAAAGTGTTATAAGTTGAAAGAAATAATCAATGGTAAAATTACACGCTAAAGTTATAATTATATGAATCATCTCAAAACTATATAAAATTAAAATGAAATTTTTTAAAAATTTGTTTAAAAAAGCATATATGCTATAGATTTATCGTGTTTAATAGTGTCTATATGAGAAATATTTAAAAATAATATCGTTCAAAGTATTATTCTAAGTGATATTTGCAATTAAAATTTAAAAATAAAATGACTCTCTCGTTTACCCAAGTCTACAAATAATATTAGAAAAATACATTTATATGTATGAAGTTTTCTTGTACGTATCAATACGTCGTTTTTCTCTTATGAAAGCCGTGTTTTTAGACAATTTTGAAAAATTTGTGTTGTTTGGTTGTAATTTTTTTCTTTTTATAGTTAGCCATCTAATTTTCCTCTCATAACTTATTTCAATTTGATTCATGTAATAAACAATTGTTTTATATGTATTGTTATACTTAAATGAATGAAAAATTGATAAAACTTCTTTTGTTGTTCGTCGTTTATATTTTTTATATATCTGAACCCAATATTTTTTCAACTTCAAAATAGCTTATTCGTTACTCTGGTATGCGTGATTTCCATAATAATATGAGTATAGCATTTATTTGCAAGATCATTTGATTAAAATTTATAGATTTATTGCATTTATAAAAAGGGTGTACAAAATTTTCTTGTATGTTATATTCAACTTATTATCGCACTGATTTGGTCACAAACAAAAGAAACGTGGCTTTACAAAGAATATGTAACCCAACAACAATATTTATTAAAGTATTTTTGTTGCATGAACTACCAAGGAAGCTATCCGTCAACGTTTTTGTTCATTATTTTATACTCTTTTCCTTATGTAGATAAATAATTGGGTACATAGTACTAATATAAAAAGTTAAACAGCAAAGTGCCTAGTGCAATAACTACAGTTTCTACATATTTCTTGATAGTTCTTTTCTGTCTTAGAAATGATTATAAGAAAACAATAATGTACAGTAAAAAACGTCGCATAAACAATAAAAGAATACATTTATACGTTATTATATATTATATATTATGATAATATATTATTATTTTGTGACACCTAATATGATTATATATTGTAGACGATTTGAAAAAGTATAAATCTTATTTATAAAGAACGCGAATGGAAAAAATTATTTGTATATCCTATGCAAAATAAAATGAATAAATTAGGTAAAAATAAAAAAATTGTTACAGAGAAGGTCATTAGTAACAATCTTGAACTTGCTAGCCAGTTTTATTTATTTACTTTTATTTTTTAATCTTTTATGTTTTTATATTATTTTTTTATTCTTAAATGTGTTTAATATAAGGTCCAGTAATTTTAAATTACTGTAGTGAATATCGTACAGCAGATTTTTATTATAATAAAATTAAATAGTCAATTAGGGCGTTTATAATCAAAACATAACTGACTGACAATTATAAAGAAATATAATTATACAATACAACTACATAATAGTATATGTATAGTAAAAATCATGACAAATTTGATATTAATTTTGTATGTATAGCAATTTATAACTAAAATGTTAATTCTATACTTAGATTTATTTATTAATTGTAATCGTATTATTCTTTTTTACTTTACTCATAACACAGGTCAGCAAAATATGAGGTTACCATTGTTATGGGAATATTAATAGTCATTTCCGATGTCACTTTCAGTACAGAAACTGAATTTGGACTCAGAATCACTTCATCACGTCAGATTTTTGAATAATCCTAACCGAAAAGTATAAAAAAAAACATAGCTTTTTGCTTTATTTACCAGTGACTTCGCGAATATTTTAAAAATCCAATCAAACCATTCAAACAGACCACTTTTCAGCTTTTTCTTTGCCTATTTACACTTCTGATTTGAGTGTCGCTATCTGAAGATATCGTCACTTGGAAAAATTACAGTTTTTGCAATGATCTGTGTATGAAGGAAAATAAATGATAGAACATGACATTTGTTTGTTCATTCTTACTTCTGATGAAACAGATATTATATGGACGAAAGATCATTACATAATTATAAAAGAAGAAGAAAGATTGCTATAACCCCATAACTTCAAACGCAATAGTATCAAACATACGACAAGTAGGACTCTCCTGTTTAAAATCCAAGTACGGTATAACCTTACAACTTTAAATGTAATAACATTAAAGCCATGACAGGTTGAGCTTACGGTTATACGAGGTCTGTCCAAAAATTATCCGAAATATCTTAATACCACGCTGGTGTTAATTTTCGTCAACATACAAGTGACATCCTCCATAATGTAGTCCACATTTGATTGAATAACGTATTTCCAGAAGCTTTTCTACTTTCTAAAACAGTCCTCAAAGTCAGTTTTCGGAATAGCCATCAGTGCACTCGTCTCATTTGCTTGAATCATCGCTACGTCGTTATACCAATATTCTTTGAGCGACATTCTTAATTTTGAAGATAGCTAAAAGTCACAAAGAGCTATGTCGAGATTGTACAGAGGCTGACGAAGTTGTTCGATTTCGTGTTTTATCAAATGCACAAGGTTCGATGAATGCGCTAGATTATAGCGTCAAAAAACCAGTCACCACTTGACCAAAGTTGAGGCCCTTTTCTTCTTATTGCGTCACGCAATTGCTTTAAAACTTCATAATAAACTTTTTTATTGATTGTTTGATCTTTAGAAGTATATTCGTGGTACCATTACCTTCCTAATAGAAGAAAACGATCAACATTGCCTTAACATTGCTCAGACTTTGATATGCTTTTTTCGGTCTTGGCGATCCAAAATGCTTTCACTGTGAAGGCTGGTATTTGGTTTCGGCATCATAACCGTAAATCCATGATTCATCACCAATAATAATCTTTTTGAGTACGTTTGGATCATCAGAAATCATTTGCAAGTTGTCCTGAACGATTTTTAAGTTAAGCTTTTTCTGTTCTTTTATGAGCAATATTGGAATGAATTTCGTACACACACGAGTCATTCTCAGTTTATAGGTTAAAATTTCTCAAACAATGGTTTTGAGAATTCCAAGATCAAATTCTAGCTTCCGCACAGTTAACCGGCGATTTTTTTCAATGGCGAGTTGCACAAGACCGATATTTTCCGATGCTGTTGTACTTGAAAGACATCCGGAGTCCAAATCACTTTCAACAGATTGGTAGCCATCTTTAAACCATTTCACTACTCATATATCTGATTTTTTACCCATACAATCATTCCTAAAGATCTTTAATTTAATCACCTAAAGCAAGATCAATATGTGACCCTAGAACCAAATATGATCAAACAAAGACTTAATAATTTAATGCCAGATCATTCGGAAATTTTTCCATTCACGATTAGATTAATCGTATTTTCTTTTAAATCTAATTTCTTATATTTAGTCTGTAGCTCATCACGTTGTAAAGACCAATGGAAGTACGAGTATATCAGCATGGCTGTGAACTATTGTCCTTGATAACGCTGCTCCATTATTACTTTTATATTTTGATGAAAACTCTCTCCTTATTCTTTGAAAATCTTTGAAAACATTAATTATCTAAATTCTTAAAAAATCAAGCAAGAAAGAATGCAATGCTTCAGTGCTCATGTTGCAGCCTAATTCTTAGAAGCTCTCAATCATATTATTGACTAACTCATTATAATTTCTTGATTATTATTAACCTATGAATCCTTTGACTACTTATTGAAGCTGATTCAAGTATTTTTTTCAATATTGATTATTAAATAAAATAATGTTGTTTGTATTGTGTATAATTTTTTTAATCAGTTTTGAATCGTTTATACAGGGTGTCTAAAAAGTAACGATACACCTGAGAAATTTTCTAAGCCGGTTATTTTTTTAACCGGGTGAAGGTTGTTCTTGAAGTAACTTTTTACGAGGAATCCGAAGGTAATCTTGGATTTGACCTTGAACCTCATTTTCAAGGTTATTTTGAGGTCAACCTCATTTTTTTAAATGGAAACCCCTATTTTTTATGGCAAAATCGGAAAGAGCGGAAAATTTTACGTCCAGATATGTATTGAGGTATGAGGTTGAGGTAACCCCTAGAGGTCAACTGGAGGTCAAAGTATGAATTCTTAAAAATCTCGCGAATTCAGTGGTTAAACAAAACAAACAAAAGGATAACCCCGGGTAACTTTCAACGGTGCTCTTTAATTTGTCCTTGAACCTCATTTTCAAGGTTATTTTGAGGTCAACCTCATTTTTTTTAATGGCTACCCCTATTTTTTATGGCGGAATCGAAAAAAGTGAAGACTCACGTATGGATGAGTTGAGGTTTGAGGTTAATGTGACCTCTAGGGGTCAGATGAAGGTCAAACTGTGGCTTTGTAATAGTACCGGGATTTTAGTGGTACAAGGAAGCAAATAAAGGTCATGGAAACCCCCATTTTCGACAGCGGCAATCGAAAGAGCGGAAAATTTCACATCCAAATATCTACTTAGATCATAAGTCAAGGGCGAACTTAAAGTTTAAGGTCAGTCGAAGGTCATCCAAACTTAAAGACGCCCTAAAATTTTTTAAAGTTTTTTTCATAATGGAGAAGGGTATTTATTTAATAATTGCCCATCGGAGATCCGTAACCTTGAATTTAACCTTCAACCTCATTATCAAGGTTTTTTCAAGATCAATTTTTTTTACTTTTAGCGTTACCCAGGAACAACGACGTGGACGTAGTAAAATCTGTCCCCTTGGGGTGCTTTATTTTCGTGAGTTCCCCTCGCCTCTCACGATCGGGGTGCTTGATTTTCGGGAGTTCCCCTCGCCTCTCACGATCGGGGTGCTTGATTTTCGTGAGTTCCCCTGGCCTCTCACGTATGATTTATCTTACATCAGCACATCTTATTTTAAGTGCTCGAATTGTTCACCGTTCACTTCTTGACAGTAAGCTAATCGGTGTTAAAAAGCATCAACAGCATTTTGGATCATTTCAGTGGGAATGAGAGCTGATTCGTCTATGATCCTTTGACGTAATTCGTCCAAGTTTTGGGGTTTAGTTTTGTATACCCGATCCTTTAGATAACCCCAATAGAAATAATCTAAAGGCGTCAAATCGGGGGACCTAGCTGGCCATTCAATTGTGCCTCTCTTTCCTATCCACCGATTATCAAACACCTCATCTAAGTAAATTCGAACGTCTCGTCCATAGTGAGCTGCAGCACCATCCTGCTGATACCATGTATTTTCGAAGTTGTCTCCGACTATTTCTCTAATTGCTGGAACTATTTGATTACGAAACATCTCTTCATAATTTTGAGCGTTTAAGTTACCATCAATAA